AAACTGCACAGTTGTTTTTGTTTCTTCGGATTCCCAGAAAAAATCAGGTACAAGACTGCTGGTAAATAACTAACTAACTGGGGATGAAGTTCTACATTCTGCATCAGGGATCTATGCATAATGTCACTGAAGAGCACAAGACAGATTGTATTTATCTTCCAGTTTCCCACCTTCGAAAGGCGGGGAGGGTTGTTTAACGAGCAAGGTTTCATGGTTGTCCTTTATCTCGGTGGGCCTCTAGGTTTCTACTCCCTTCTACTCCCTTTTCCGTCTTTAGTTCTCAGCTTTAGGGCTTTTAACGCTTCTGTCCTGTGGTGCCTTTCCCCTTATATTTGCGAGCAGGAATGCCAAGTCTGTCTCCAGTACCCTCGTCACCCTCAAAGGAGTTATAAATGACTAATAAATCAGAATGGTTTACAGCAGCAAAGTTTATATTTATATTTATATTTATAATCTTTCAATTTGGCTGGTCTATTTACTTAACTGACCTGGAACAATCTACCAGAGAAAAGGCCGCCGCCCATGGGACAGAGGGTCATTGATGAATGATAATCCAGCTTTTACCTAGGGTTTTAATAGGCCATAAGATTATATGGTAACTATATTTGTAATGTATTTTTGTCAGTGTTTGTCCTTTGATGCTATGGCCTGTTGGCTACACAAATAAAGTCTTTGTTGTTGTTGTTTCACTGAAGAGCAGGGTAAGAAAGCTTCAAATAATATGGATATACCCATTGCACTTTGCACTTCCAATGCAATTTTATTTTTTTTAGTAAATAAAAAAACCTTAAAAAATAAAATTGTGTATTTTGAGGGAAAATATGTTTAGAAATGTGTATTTTGGAATTAAATGCACATGTTCACATGATTCCTTTTTAAAGAGCAGGCTGTGTGCTCCTAAATCACAGGAACACAAGGTGCTACCTTAGGCTGAGTCGGACCATTGGTCCATTTAGCTCAGTATTGTCTACACTGACTGGCAGCAGTTCTCTATTGTTCTAGATAGGGAGCCTCTCCCAGCCCTACCTGGAGATTCTGGGGACCTTCTGCATGCAAAGCAGATGCTCTGCCACTGAGCTACAAGTTACTCCCCCTACCCTACCCTACCCTACCCTACCCTACAGGTATTCCCACTATTGGCAAAGTGGTGCACCAACAAGCACAAAACAACCCCCCTGCAGAGCCACAGATCCAACTCAGTGGTGTAACTCTAGAAAATGTCGGTCACTTCTCCTACCTGGGCAGTTATATTTTCACAATGGCCAACATTGCTGCCGAACTCCAGCATCGCCTGAGCTCTGCGAGTGCAGCTTTCTCCCAATTAAAGTGCAGAGTGTTTGAGGACATTCGCAGGGAAACCAAAATGCTTCTTTACAAAGCTATTGTACTACCAACCTTACTATATGCTTGTGAAACATGGATCACTTATAAACGCCATCTCCAGCTCCTCGAAAGATTCCATCAGTGGTGTCTCCAAATAATTTTACACATCACTTGGGAAGACAGGCGAACTAATGCCAGTGTAATGGAAGAAGCAAAGATCACCAGTGTCAAAGCAACGATTCTTCAACATCAGCTTTGTTGGACTGGTCATGTTGTGCGGATGCCTGATTATTGTCTTCCAAAGGTCTACTCCAAACTTTAAAATGGAAAGCGTAATGCTGGTGGTCAACAAAAGAGGTTTAAAGACTCTCTCAAGGCAAATCTTTAAAAATGTAGTATAAACACCGACAACTGGGAAACACTGGCCTGTGAGCGCTCCAATTGGAGAACAGCCTTTACCAAAGGTATCATGGACTTTGAAGATGCTCAAACTCAGGACAAAAGGGAGAAACGTGCTAAGAGGAAGGTATGTTTGGCAAACCCTTACCATGATCAACTCCTGCTCGGAAATCTCAGTCCTCACTGTGGAAGGACGTGTGGATCCAGAATTGGCCTCCACAGTCACTTACGGACTCACTGTTAAGACCGTGTTTATGGAAGACAATCTTACTCAGATATGAGTGATCGCCAAAGAAGAAGATATTGTAGTCATTTAATTTTATCACTATATCACAGACAGAGTCTTGTAGGGGTTTCTGTTCTCTGCTGAGATTCCTTCTGGGGAAAGCCGCCTAATCTGAGGAATTTGTCGCCTTTTGTGGTGGCTGCGTGGGAGAGGGAGCAAAAATGCTCCAGATTTTTATTCCATTCTGCTCCTCTTTACTGATGGACATAAAAGGCAGTCTTCGGTTCTGTGCTCTGCTCATGTGCTGGTCCTCGCACATCTTTCCTTAATTATATAGCCTGCTTTCCTGATTGCAGTAAACAACATAAGGCATACCGCCGGCAACGATGTCAGATCATTTCTTGGGAGCAGTTTCATATTTAATATAATAATTGGTTTGGCTGGACATAAATCGTATGTCACCAGACCCAGGGAATCAAGAAATTGATGCTATCTTTTCCTGGCAGAACCCCCATCTCCCCCCCCCAAAAAAAAATCAGTCGCAGCAGTCACAGTATTACTCAGTAATTATGCCTTGAACCTCTCTGTGTTGATACATTTGCTATTTCTCCATTGTGCACAACAAATCTGTGACGAACAGCAAAGGCTGCATGTGGCATTAATGCTCATCAAACAGTAGAGTGCAATTAAGGGATGGGACATTTATCCCCTCTTTTCTCAAGAAAATGGGACGTAGCAGCGTTGGGTACATGAAAGCGAAACCTCCCACCTGGTTTGAAACAGAGCTGGCCTCACCTGAAATTCCACTGGGGTAGTGGTGAATGTTGACGTGCAGGAATTCATCCTGACTGCTGCTATAGACACCCCTCCACACACATGCAAGGGGAGTCCATAGCCATGCCTCAAAGGAGTTCAGAGCCATCCTTCCGAGAACTGCCCATTGCATGCCAAGGCACCTGAGCCACAAAGTCCCCAGGAGAACAACAAATCACACTGACACAGAGTATTTTTGTTTATGGGTTCAAATAGGACACAGTGGAGTCTGTAACCTGAAGCGTCCGTAACCTGAAGCGTATGTAACCCAAGGTACCACTGTATAGGGCCAAGCAATGAAGCTGATCAGCAATACATCGAGGGCTGAGAAATGATGGCATCTATTGCTTCAACCAATAACTTATAGAACTGCCTGTCATAGGACATAGCGATGGATGCTCATGTTTGAAAAACAGGGTGCATCTATTCACAGAAGAGGTTGCCTCCCACACACTTCCGCTGCACTTTTCTGCTTGTGTGGTGGCACCTTGGTAAAACCACTTCTTACTGTTTGTAGCAGAGTTTTTCCCGGAGGCAGAGGGCAAGAACAGGAGTCATATTGAAATTCTTCAATAAAGAGGTTCTTTATTGCTTGACTGGTTGCACAAGCATTTCTGTTACTGTTATATACAAGCTATTTACATTCCTTCTCTATCTCTCCAGCACGGTATAATCTCAGTCCAGTAGTTAACAATCCAGACACAGCAAAACTCATTGTCTTACTTCCACACATTGTCACACATTGTCTTACTTCCAACCTTGTTGTCAGCATGTGTGCTGATTTTGTGTGTGTGTGTGTGTGTGTGTGTGTGTGTGTGTGCTTTCCTCTTGTGGAAATTGCATCCTGTAACTTCCTCCCTTTATTTGCACCTTCAGCTGACACCAATCAAGCCTACACACTGAAGAATATTCTGGAAACCTCTTTAAAGCTTCCAGGAACTTGTATCTGTTTCTTAAAGAATGTTTCCCCAACACCTGCAATGGCTGTTATTTGTGATCACTACATGAAACCTTCATTTACAGAGGCAGTCTACTCTGTGCAAAGAGTAGAAATTGTTCTGTGCATGTGGTTGAGGCTCACCTCCTTTTACAGCCTCCCTGAGAAAAACGAAGAGGGGGGAAAGCAGACTGTCTCTTGTTGCAATCCAACGCTAGATTTGACAGCCCTTGCTCTGTGTGACCGAGCAAAGCAATTCTTCTGTTCTCGTTCTGTCCCTTATTAAATGATGGAAGTGCAAGCCACTCCCGCTTCATTTCTCACACTTCAAAAACCAATTCGTTTCCTGCTCTCTTAGACGAAGGAAAAATAACTTGTTTGCTTCAGTTTAGCCTCTTTTGGCAATGCCTCGTTGTCGCGGCATCCCCTTCGCGTCCGCGTTTTAAACTTTTGCCTTGTTTCCTTGGAATTTGTTTTGCAGTTTTTGCATGCTGGTGAGATTAACCGGTGAGGAAACAAGCCTGCTGTTGCTCAATTCCTTGAATATGTAGGAGAAAATGAGTAAGATCTCATAGGAACAACATAAGAACACAGGCCTTTCACCAAGTCAGACCCATCTATGTATTGTCTTTTTTTAAAAAAACAAACTTTTTTTATTCAGTTTTACACTACACATTTAAATTCAAACATTAGACATCATCATCATTTAGGATCCTCTGAATCCTTAGACACCCCTCCATGGCTTGCATTTTCAGTCTTTTTCAACTGTGTCATATATTTTCTCAATTTTTCTTAAAATAACCCATTTTTACCTTAGTTTTTAGTACATTACAAGCGTTACTCAAAGTTTTTGGTTGTTTACAGTGTTCTCTTAGGTAATTTGTAATCTGAGTTTCTGCTAGTGCAATCGCTCTGCTGGCTTCCTCTGTTGCACAACATTAAAACTCATCTGTCTGTTGTTTTTGTTGTGGTTGTTGTTGTTGTTTGCATTTATATCCCACCCCTTTTTCCAAGGAGAGCGAGGTTGCATACATGGCTCTCCCTCTCTTCCTTTAATTCCCACAACACCAACCCTGTGAGGTAGGTTAGGCTGAGAGGCAGTAGTGGTTTGGATCCTGGTGCCCCAAGTCCCAGTCCAACACTTTAACCGCTACACCACACCAGAACTCATGTGCTAGTGGGCAGAAAATGTTGGACACAGCCCACAGTAACCTTTACTGGAGCATCTAAATGAAAAATGAAGAAGCACATGCATAGATTCTCTTACGCACTGAACTGCTTGGTCCGAACACAAAATGTTTTTTTTTTTTTTTAAAGAATATTTATTCCAATTTTAAGATTACATAGAAAGAAAAAAGCAAAAAAAGAAAAACAAATCACATACACCCTACAAAAAAAAGAACAACACACGATACAGAAAAAAATACAAAAGACAAAAAATCACAATACAAAAATAACAAAAAATCAAATTAAACCATTAAGATCATTTTCCCATTTACTTATTTCCAAGACTTCCTCTCACTTCTCTGCTTTGTATTCTAATTTAAGTCGTATCTCCAGCAAACCCTTCTAACCTTCTTTTCATTTACTTAATTTAACATTCAAAAATATTTAATTCTCCTCTATTTTTTATTTTACACTACATATTTACTTATTCCATTATACTCTGTCTGCCAATACGGTCTAATGTTCTTCTCCAACCTTTTCTAGCATTCTTTTATATTACAGTATTTCTGAAGATATGTTTTAAATTTTTTCCAATCTTCTTCCATCGACCCTTCTTCTTGGTCTCGTATTCTGCCGGTCATCTCAGCCAGTTCCATATAGTCTATCACTTTTCTCTGCCATTCTTCTCGGGTAGGCAATTCTTGTGTCTTCCAGTATTTCCCAATGAGTATTCTTGCCGCTGCTGTCGCATACATAAAGAAATTCCTGTCTTCCCTTCGCACCAATTGGCCGACCATGCCCAAGAGGAAGGCCTCTGGTTTCTTCAAGAAAGTATATTTCAATACCTTTTTTAGTTCATTATATATCATTTCCCAGAAGGCCTTGATCTTTGGGCACGTCCACCAAAGGTGGAAAAAGTACCTTCATTTTCTTTACATTTCCAACATTTATTATCAGGCAGATGATAAATTTTTGCTAGCTTGACTGGGGTTAAGTACCACCTGTATATCATTTTCATTATGTTTTCTCTTAAGGCGTTACAGGCCGTAAATTTCATACCTGTGGTCCATAACCGTTCCCAGTCAGCAAACATAATATTATGCCCCACATCTTGCGCCCATTTAATCATAGCAGATTTAACCATTTCATCCTGTGTATTCCATTTCAACAGCAGATTATACATTCTTGACAAATTTTTGGTTTTAGGTTCTAACAATTCCGTTTCCAGTTTAGATTTTTCCTCCTGGAAACCTATCTTTTATCTAAGTTAAAAACCTCCCTTATTTGATAATAATGCAGCCAATCTCGAACTTTAGTTTTTAATTTGTCAAAGCTCTGCAATTTTAATTTATCTCCGACTTGTTCTAAAATTTCGCAATATTTTGGCCAATTTGTCTCCATGTTTGTTTTTTTCAAAGCCTTAGCCTCCATTGGTGACAGCCACCTTGGTGTTTTACTTTCCAACAAATCCTTATATCTCACCCAAACATTAAATAATGCTTTCCTGACAATATGATTCTTGAAGGCCTTATGCGCTTTAACTTTGTCATACCATAAATATGCATGCCACCCAAACACATTATCGAAACCTTCTAAATCTAAAATGTCCACATTTTCAAGAAGTAGCCAATCTTTCAGCCAACAAAAAGCGGCTGATTCATAGTAAAGTTTAAGATCTGGCAGGGCAAATCCCCCTCTTTCCTTTGCATCTGTTAATATCTTAAATTTTATTCTGGGCTTTTTGCCCTGCCAGATAAATTTAGAAATATCTCTTTGCCACCTCTTGAAACAGTCCATTTTATCCACAATTTGTAGTGTTTGAAACAAAAACAACATTCTAGGCAATACATTCATCTTTATCGCAGCAATTCGGCCCAGCAATGATAACTTCAATTTTGACCATATTTCTAAATCCTTCTTCACCTCTGACCAACATTTTTCATAATTATCTTTAAACAGATTCACATTTTTGGCAGTCATATTCACCCCTAGATATTTCACTTTGTTAACAATTGTTAATCCTGTCTCTTTCTGAAACCTCTCCTTCTCTATCTCTGTAAGATTTTTCTCTAATACCTTGGTTTTCATCTTGTTTAATTTAAAACCAGCTACTTGACCAAATTCTTGTATTAATTGTAACACTCTTTTGTACTAGCTTCTGGCTCCTGTACTGTCAAGACTAAATCATCAGCAAAAGCTTTCAATTTGTACTGTTTAGCTCCGAGTTGTATACCTTTAACCAATTGGTCTTTTCTAATCATATTGAGCAAAACCTCGAGGACCGATATAAAAAGCAATGGGGAGATTGGGCAGCCCTGTCTTGTTCCTTTCTCTATCTTAAATTCTTCTGTAACTACATTGTTCACAATAAGCTTAGCTTTTTGTTCCGAATAAATTGCACCTATACCATTTTCGAAACTTTGGCCTACCCCCATCCCCTGCAGATTTTTCTTCATAAAGCTCCAAGAAATATTATCAAACGCTTTCTCTGCATCTACAAATATTAAAACAGCTTTAGTATTAATGTTGACTTGCAATTTTTCCAAAATGTTAATGATGTTCCTAGTATTGTCTGACAAATGTCTCCCAGGTAGAAAGCCCGCCTGGTCTTTATGAATCTCTTTTACCAATACGTTTTTTAATCTCTTAGCCATAATTTCAGCAAAAATTTTGTAATCCACATTTAATAGGGATATGGGACGGTAGTTCTTCAACTGTGTCTTCTCCCCTTCGGTTTTTGGTATAAGTGTAATGTATGCTTCTTTCCACGACTCGGGTGCTTTTCCTCCCCGTAGTATTTCATTACAAAGTTCTTTCAACGGTTGCAATAACCATTCTTTCAAAGTTTTGTAGTACTTTGCAGTTAATCCATCCGGCCCTGGAGATTTGCCCAATTTCATATTCTGAATGGCTCCTTCCACTTCTTGGTCAGATATTGTCGAGTTTAATGTTGATTTACTGTCTTGAGATATTTTTGTAATCCATTATTTTCCAAAAATCGGTCAATGTCTAGATCTTTCTGAGTCTCCTGCGTATATAACTGTTTGAAATAATTCTGAAAGCACTTCCGAATCTCTCCAGGGTTCTGTATATTCTTTCCTTCTACAACCAAGTTCGTGATTGTATTCAGCTTTTGTCTTTTTTTCATTTGCCAGGCCAGTAACTTCCCACATTTATTTGCCGATTCGAAAGTCTTTTGTTTCATCTGTTTAATCTTCCATTCTATCTCCTGATTCATCAATTTCATATATTGTACTTGGTATAGCTTTATCTCTTTTAAAATCTCCTGTGAGTTCGGTTTCGCTCTCAGTCTTTTTCTCCATCCTTTATTTTCTCCAAAATTTTTCTCTCTTCTTATTTTGATATCTTTTCCTAATTGCGTTTTGTTGTATCAAGAATCCTCTCATCACCGCTTTACTGGCATCCCAAATCACTCTTTTTTTCTGTCGTAGTATTCAAATTTATTTCAAAATAGTCTCTCAAATTTTTTTGAGCCTTTTTAATAATTTCCTCATTCCTGAATAAGGAGTCATTCATCCTCCATCTAAAGGCCCCAATTGGCGTTGATATCATTTCAATCTTTACTGGATTGTGATCAGAGCAGATTTTCGGGCAAATCACTGCTTTTTTAATTTTAGGAGCCAGTCCTCTAGTTATCCAGATTTGGTCTATTCTTGTCCATGTCATATTTGCTTCAGAGAAGAAGGTTCCTTCTCTTTCCAAGGGGTTCTTTGTTCGCCAAATATCCACAAGATCCATATTGTCAGTCATTTCAAAAATGTCTTTGGTAATCTTCCATCTTTTGTCACTGTTTGTCTTTGGGCTTTGTCCATATTTGTAGACACTACTCCATTCATGTCTCCCATCAAAATAATATTGTAATCCAAATAGTCCAGGAGAGTTTCATGCAATTTCTTGAAGAATTCTGATTTTCCCTCATTTGGTGCGTATACACCTATTATCAAAAATTTCTGTCCTTGGAATTGAATTTCAATTGCTATATATCTTCCTTGATCATCTTTAAATATAAATTTTGGTGACAGGCTTTCCTTCGCATAAAGTACTACCCCTCTTTTTTTAACATTGTCCGATGAGATGAATTCCTCTCCCAATCTTTTATTTGTCAAAATTTTCCGATGTAGCCTTGTCACATGAGTCTCTTGTAAACAGATCAAGTCCAAATGTTCTTTTTTCAATGTATGAAATACTCTTCCCCTTTTAGCCGACGAATTTAGGCCATTAATATTCCAGCTTAAAATTTGTAGTGTCATTTTGTAACTACTCTCCTTCTCCTCCAGCAGCCCCAAGAAGGTTGTCTATGTCTGTCGGTGGCGTTGGTTTCCCTTTTTTTTGCAGACTCTTGTCCGGTATCGCGATGTCTTTTCCCAATCCTTTCAGTAGGTCTTCTTCGTATGCACTCAGAAACTTGTTCTTTTCCTCCACTGATCTGATCTTGGTCTTTCTTCCTTTAAAGCTAAAGGATAGACCTTGGGGAAATTCCCACCTAAAGAGAATTTTATTTTTTCTCAACAAGTCCACCAGGTCTCCAAAGTCCTTTCTTAAATCAAGAAGATGTTTTGGTATATCTTTAAAAATTTCAACTTTTGATTGTATAATTGTCAAGGGTTTTTCGTAATGTAAACCCAAAATTTTGTCCCTTTCTTCCTTAGATCGAAGAGTAATCAAACAGTCCCTTATTTTAATCTTTCTTCCTCCTTTCCCCAGTCGAAAGGCCCTCACAATCTTAAAATCCTCTTGTTTCAATTCCGATTTCCAAAAGTCCAGAAATTCTTGTGTCAAAAAGTCTATCAAAGTACCTTTCTCCAACTCAGGAACAGCTCTGATTCTAAGATTCGTTTGTTTGTCTTTGAGGTCAATCATAGATAACGTTAACTTATGTTCTGCAATCTCTTTCTGTAAGTCTGGTACTTTTTCAGTTTCCAACTGCCCCAATTTGAACTCTACAGCAGCAGTTTTTTCCTGTATAGACTTTGAGTCTTGCAGCAGTTTCTGAATAGATTCCGTATTGCTATTTACTTTTTTCTCCAGATTACCTAATGTTTCTGTATTTAGGTCAATTTTCCTGTTTGCAATATCCACTTTCTGATTGGTCTCTTCAACCTTACAGTTCGTCTCACCCACTTTTGTAGATAGCTGCTGTATTGAATCATTAATCTTAGACAGAGCACTGGCTAAAAGTTCCTCAGACATTCCACCAGACTTAGATTGTGTTGCCGATGTAGGCAAACCAGCAGATGATTGCCTTCTATGTGTCCAAGGTTTCCCTGATCTCAAGGTTGACTGGTCCTTGTAACCATCAGCCATAACAGAGTGAAGGTCAAATTACTTTCCCACGTCTGCTCTTCCTGTTTATAATTGGAAAATTCCTTTCCTTTCCTGCAATTGCAGAAAGTCCCACTAGATGGACACTGTTGCCACCTAGCAAGTTACTGTCTTTTAGAACAACAAGGGAAAGATACTAAGTAAGAGGGGGAAAAAAGTCCAAAGTAAAAGACACAATATAACTTTCCAGTCTTTTCCAATCTTTTCCCAGTAAAATTGGCCACTATGTATCTCCTTTGCAGCCAGCATACAGCTTTAGCAGCTTTGACAGCTTTGACAGCTGAGTGACAGATCACTCATTTAATCCTTCAATTTAAACGATCCAGTAAAATCAAAAGTCTTTCCCTTAACTCTCCTAAGGGTAGATCCCTCCAAAGTCCTCAGGTCAGAAGAATACACTTATTTCAATTCAGCTCTCCCACGTTTAGCTCCAAATCTCTTTGCTTTGTTCTTTATACAATGCAGTGAAGCCGACTTCCTGTTTACGCTTCCACCGCGGTAGCCAATTCAGCCATTTTTAAAAAAGCTTTAAACTTTTCCGCTTTTTCGCCAAAGTTCCAAATTAATCCAAATCTTGCTCTTTTATCCAATTCTTCTACTCACGGTTAGTTTTTGAGTCCGAATGTCCCAGGAATAAGTCAGCGCTCTCCAGCAACGGCAACGCGGCTTCGCTCAGTGTGAGCAGCGATCCGCTCGCAGCACCGCGCTTCTCCCCCGCTCCCTTCCGAAGCCTCGAAAAGGCTTCCTTTCAGGTTGGGGGGGGCGCTTCAAGGTGCCCGCCGAGCCTCCACGTTCGCAGGCGTCCGCGCCTGCGATTTCTAAGGGTCCCCGCTTCGCCGGAGCGCACAGGACCCGATCTCCCACTGGGCTACCCCCTCCGAAAAACAAAGGAGGTCCGCCATTGCTGCAGGCACAGACCCGAAGT